TAATGACCTTGTCATCTTAGCAGCCTGTCTGCACAGGATCAGTGGAGGTCTTGACCAAGGTAGAGTATTTAATATCTAGACCACCATGACCACTTTAGTTTCCAGTGGTGACTAAGTCTTGAACCTAGTTTAATGGCCAGTATGAGTTTGCTTCCACTCCAGCCTCATCTTCAAACCTCACCCTTGAGGGGTACCCACCGGAAAAAACCAATAATGTTTAGACTCCCTGATGAACAGCGAGAAAAGACTGGTTCCCACCAGGGACTTGTTCTTTACATTCTTGGGACTAAGGATCCCAGCTTGGCGATGGGAATCCATTCCTTGTCTTCACCCTTGCCTTCATGATCCCTGTGGCCTGTCCCCAGGCTGCTACCACAGTCCAGGGAAGCAACCATGGTCCCCTGAGGCCAGTGCTGAAACATCTGTGACATTTCAAGAGTAGGTCCCAGGAGCATCTGCTGTTGTTTTCTCAGGAAAGAAGAGAACTGTTTGTTTTTTTTCTTTTTTTGTTAACAAAATGTGCAGAATATTGTATCTGTTTGTATTTCTATTTTAGCCTTTGTACTGGGACTCTTTTCAGAGGAACATCTAGCGTTGATCCAGACCTGCTGGTGTTGAGCTTCACGGTTTCCAAGTCCTTCCACAGCTAGTAATTTCCCTGTCTTTGTAAAGACTTAAGGTGTTGGTCTTACAAAGTAGCAAGATGGGCTTTAGAAGGAGACATGGAAGCCAGACACAAGTGTAATCTTAGGTCTCAGGAGGCTGAGTCAGGAAGATTGCTGAGTTTAAAGACAGCCTGGGTTACATAGGAGAATTCAAAACTGGCGTTGGCTCATATAAGCAGAGCTGAAACCGTGGTGGTTATTTGAAATACAAATGATCTCAAGTGAATTTGAAATCGAACCTGTTTTATTCTTGGGCCTGTTGCTCACAATAGGTCCCTATTGGCCAGTATCACAATCCTGTATGGCTATGAGAATGTTTGTTGTGATGGTATGCAAGAGTTAATAAACACTTCCAAAGAGACCAAAGCTGCCTGAGTTTAATGCATAAGTAGTGCATAGTAAACTCATCATCTAGGGGACCAAGTACGAACGCCTCTGTCTCTGTCTCTCTCTCTCTCTCTCTCTCCCTCTCTCTCTCTCTCTCTCTCTGTGTGTGTGTGTTTGCACTTTGATTTTAAAATCTATTAATTATCTGATAAAATGTTGAAAGCTTATGAACTGCTTCAATATAAGGTCCCTGGTTCCCCATGGTGTTAGACACTAATATGGCGGTTGAGCTGCTTGCTTTGCAGAAGAGGTGGTGAAGATTATCATTTCCCCCTCCTCCGGTGTCAACACACCTTGGCCGGGTGGTAGTTGCATCTGCCAGTTTACTGCCTTGCCTTCCTGCCTCCGCCATCACCATGCTCTCTCACACCCCTGTGCTCAGGAGAGCTCAGGCCTACCCATAATTCCTGATTACTGTTATGCTCGCAGGATAATTTTTCTCTTACTTTCTGACCTTTTCAGTGGAAGATTTAGAAGTTGCTGGACAGATGCAGCTGAAGCCTTCTATGCAGAACAGGATAGAGTGATCTTGAACAAGGTCATGCAGGATTTAACCCGTGCCCGGGTAGAGTCTGGCTGGGAAGTGTGCTTGTGCTGTACAGTAACGGTAGAGCAGCCATGATCAAAACCAATTAACTCTACCCTTCAGAGTAACCAGCAAGGAGAGAGAGGGCTCCTACCAGAGAAATGATGGTAACTGAGCAATGTAAACTACTGTGATGTAGCATGGGAATGTACCGAGTAACAATACTGTGCTGTACATATGCAATACTATGTTAGTTAGTAAATAAACATTACCTTGGTCCTATAGCCAAGGACCACACCCAGAGTCCCAATCCTGTTCTGCCTTCCTTAAAGTCCCCATAAGATTAATGAGAAGTCCTTTTGGTTCCACCTCAGGCTATGATTGCTCAGTTCTTTGTTGGTGGGTGGGCCCAATCAAGTGCACTGTTCATTTAGCCTTCTTCTGTGTCTTTGTGACCATAAAGGTTTTCCTGAGGCACAGAGAGGCAGGATACAAAATGTTCACTTGAGGACAGCTTTTAGTAGTTATATCCAACTAGAGTGAACAGAGCAGGAATAATGTCCTTGTTGGAAGTTAATAGCTCTGCTCTCCCAATCATTTGCTAGAAGGGAGAAAAAAAATGCCTGCTCGGTTACCACGGAGACCAGGCAAAACAAACCCATTCCTTAGGCTAGCCAATAAAAAGATATCACAGATTCCTCTCAGTCCATCAGAGCTAGGGCAGGCATGCCAGGGCAAACTGCAGAAATGGCTGCTGAGGTATAGTTTTGGTTTGGCGCACAGGGCCAGGGAGTTTATCATGGCTTTAAACCATAAATCATGGGGCAACACCCCAGCTTCAACTCTACCTCCACCCCCAAATTCTTGTATTCACTTTACTTTGGCATCCTCCAGCACTCCCTGTGTAAGATCAGGTTGAGACAAAGGAAAGGAATAAAACTGGAACCTCTAACGTCCCCTTTGCCATTAGCCACAGCCTAGCCAATGCTATATTTTACATAAAGGAATAAAGCTGTCAGAATGGTCTATTCAGGTATTCCCTTTAAATAGCTTTGTGTGTGCGTGTGCGTGTGTGTGTGTTTGCTTGAGATGAGCTTTCTCTATGCAGCCCAACTGTCCTTGAACGTTCTATGTAAACCAGGTTGGTCTCAAACTCACAGGGATCTGCCTGCCTCTGCCTCTTGATTCGTTTTTCTGAGAAAGGATCTCATTTGTAGCCTGGGCTAAGCCTAGAGCTTGGAATTTACAATCTTTCTGTCTCAGCCTTGCAAGGGCTGTGGTTACAGGTTTGTACTGCCACACCCTGTTAAGAGTAAGGTGTGAGTTGTGGGGATTAATTAGCCCAATTAAAAGCCTTCAGGTAAATGTTTTCTTTTACATTATTAAGAACAGAAATCAAGCCGGGCACTGGTGACGAACACTTTTAGTCCCATATGGATTTATCACATTATGGTTAGTGTGTATTTCTCGTCATAACCACATTGAGTACCTTCTAGAAGACAGGAAGGCTTATTCAGTTCCTTAATCTTCTAACCCAAGTCTTTAATCACAATACTAGGGAGTCAGAGGCAGGTGGATCTCTGAGTTCAAAGCCAGCCTGATCTACAGAGTGAGTTACAGGACGGCTCAGGCTATACAGAGAAACCCTGTCTGAAAAAATAGAAGAACAGAAATCAAAGTATCGGTTCCTTAGCAGGATCAGAAATACAGGCTAGGGCTTGAGAGATAGCTCAGCCGTTAAGAGCACTGACTGCTCTTCCGAAGGCCATGAGTTCAAATCCCAACAAACACATGGTGGCTCACAACCATCTGTAATGGGATCTGATGCCCTCTTCTGGTGTGTCAAGGACAGTGTGCTCATATACATTGAATAAATAAATACAGGAGTTTATTAAAATAGTAAAAAAGAAATACAGGTTATTTTTTTTCAAAAGAGGAGAAAGGGTAACAAAGGCAACACTTTCTGAATTCACACTCATCCAGTGGCCAGCTTCCTTCTAAGGTGTGCGATTCTAAGAAATCTCATCTAATCAGTCAGACAACCTTGTGAAATAGGAGTTGCAGTTAGGCATTTTTATCTGCCATCTCTTAGAGGGAGGACCTGTTGTTTTCAGAGGCAGGAAACTTCTCCCTGGTCTGTGTTGGAGCTTAGGAGTTAGAGAGGAGTCTGGGACCAGAGGAGTTAGAGAGGATGTGGGCCCAGTGGTCTGTTGAGAGGTGGAGGGAGGAAGACCATCCTAGGTTTCCTCAACTGTAAATCAAAGAAATTATGTTTGATGATCTCAGAGGTTCCTGTCTGTCAGCATTGCAAATCTTTCTTGACCATTCCAGATCAATCTTGATGGGTCATGGGTAGCTATTGGTGTACAGTGAATGGTGAAGGGCACAAAAACGGGGTCAGGGAGGAAGGAGACATGATGGCTGCTGCTTTAGGCACCCAGCATTTTCCTGACTGGAGCAGATGCCGAAGTCCTCAGATGCATTCTGCTTAGAAACCTATCCATGGGACCAGCCTTGGTTAGCCCTTTACCCCCAGACCTCCGCATTCCCCATGAGCTGTCTGGCCACGGGGTGCACAGGTAAGCTAAGAGAATTCCAAGCCTTGTAACCAGACCTGCTCTTCCTGGTTTCCCTGAGTCACAATGACTGATACTTCCAGGAATTTTACAAAGGCACAGAAACATTTGTTCTTTCTTCAGAGACCCGGAAGTGGAAGAGTTGGGTGTGTGGGAAAGGGACTAGAGAATCCCAGAAGTTTTATAAAATGACCACCTATTTGATGGCATCCTGGCGTTAAAGGAGATTCGGTACCTAGGTGTTCAAATACTGCAAATAGTTCTGTGTTGACATTTCTAGACATCTGAAGCTCTGTGTGAAACGGAAACCAATGGCTATCACATTTCGACGTAGCACGCAAACACAGGTGTGTTTACTCCCTTACGTGTCCTCAGCTCGTACCCTCTAGTATGAGAAATCACCTTTTCCAGGTGTCCCACGGTTTGATTCTTAGTTCCCTCGTCTCATAGTCTGAGTAGGCACAACACATCTGAATGATGTGATCCAGCATACCTCACCGCAAAGTACTTGTTTTTTCCTTACCCTTTCTGCTGATTATCTATTTAGACGTGTTGCAATGTCCTTTTCCCGTATCTGTGTCTCTGCCCAGGGGTTGAGATAACACTGAAATGAAAAAAAACAAAAAAACAAAAAAACAATAAGAAAGAAGAGAAACACCGAGGAGCTGTCGCCCAATACTCTCCCCAAAGCGGGGACAGAAAACAGAGCCACCTCTTCTAGAAGACAAGGGGTGTATGCGAGAGAAAAGAGCAGCGTAGAAGGACCGAGAGGAGGTGGGTGGGGCTGATGCTTGAGATAACCGGTTCCAGGTCCTGTCACTCAGTTCCCGAAGGCAGCCTGCTGGAGGCACCTCTAGCTTTTCGTGTGCAAACGAAGAGGTTTCCCCCAGCTGGGCGGGGCTGATCTCCTGCCGGTAGGGATTCGGCTCCTAGAGGTTTCAAGCTTCAGATGCGAGTGTGTATAGGGAAAAGCTGCTCAACTCCACTGGGTCACCGGAGGATGGTCCAGACTCAGAAGCACTGAAGACCCACGCCTTGAGAACTGGGGATCGCGAGCCCGCATCTGTGCGGGAAAAGCCGGCGAATCTGGAGGAGTCAGGTCCGCCTCTCGCGCCTGGGTTTTCAGAACTCTGGTCACGTCTCCGTCTCCAGTGATAATTCTTCCCGCCTGGAACTGAAAATAATGAAACTACGCATGAAAGTTTTCGCTTTCATTGCGCTCGGCGTGGTGATTTTTGTGTGTCTTTATAACAGCCAGCTAATCCTCCCCAGCCTTTACCAGCCGCTCAACAACTCCAGCGAAAGAACGTCTGTCATCGCCTGTGATTACGGCTTGCAAGATCATTCGGTCTTCGTGACGCGGAACACATCGCCACATCCTTTAGAAAAAATCTCCTGCCCTCGGTACCAGATCCAGAGCCACTATATTACCAGTCCCCTGTCCGAAGAAGAAGCTGCCTTTCCCCTGGCCTACATCATGGTGATCCACAAAGACTTCAACACCTTTGAAAGGCTCTTTAGGGCCATTTACATGCCCCAGAATGTTTACTGTGTGCACGTGGATAGTAAGGCAACAGAGACCTTCAAAGAAGCAGTGAGTCAGTTAGTAAACTGTTTCCCCAATGCCTTCCTGGCCTCTAGGATGGAGCTGGTGGTTTATGGTGGCTTCTCCCGGCTCCAGGCTGACGTGAACTGCATGAAAGACCTGGTGGCCTCCAAGGTCCGCTGGAAATATGTCATCAACACCTGCGGGCAAGACTTTCCTTTGAAAACCAACAAAGAAATAGTTAACTATCTGAAAAGATTTAAGGGGAAAAACATCACTCCGGGGGTGCTGCCTCCTTGGCAGGCAATTGTACGGACTAAATACGTACACCGAGAACGTAAAGGCAGAAGCGGATACTTTATGCAAACAACAAATATTTTGAAGAGTCCACCTCCACACCACCTGGTCATCTACTTTGGCACAGCCTACGTGGCCCTCACCTGGGACTTTGTCAACTTTATCCTGAATAACAAAACGGCCACTGATCTCTTAGAGTGGTCTAAAGATACCTATAGCCCTGATGAACACTTTTGGGTGACACTCAATAGAATTCCAGGTCAGTGCCAAACAGTCATTGACAGTTCTTCTTTAAATTGCATACTCATTCTTTGTTTTTAGGTTGCAAATGTGTGTGGAGGTCAGGACAGCTTGTGGGAATGCTTCTCTTCTTCCACCACATTGGTCTGTCAGGCTGGGTGACAAGAACATTTACTTCCCATTCATCTCAATAGACCCGTTGCTCAAAACTCTTACTGAGTTCTGAGAACTGATTCATTTAAATTACTTGAAAAAAAAAATGTTTAGGTCCTTGAAAATGATGAGTATGGATGCTTTTACTGACAGTTTTGTGCTACCTCCACCCACTGTGGTCTTATAAATATCCAAGAAGCAGTGACCCGAGGGATATCTCAGGATCTGGACAAGCTGTCGTATTAAACAGGCGGTGTTGAGAGAAGTTGCTGAGCAAATTTAATGCAACATTGTGGGAGGGGCCATTTTCTAGCACCTTGGAAATCTCTTTGGATGTTCACAAAGGCAACACTCTGATTCACTTTGCTACTCAGGTCTCCCTTAATCTCTGTTGAACAAACCTAGCCCTGAGATTGTGTTGCCTAGGGAAGTGGGTAACGGGAGTGGAGACACACACACAGCGAGTGCTTGTGGCTGGACACGCCCCAATAGAATCCTCTACTTTCTCAGGTTACTGTAATTTCTTATTAGCAATTCCTGTTTACAGTCTTGTGCTTTTACCTAGGGGAAAGTCCTTTTGATGGTTTATGGTAACTTGGAAATGAGGCCAGTGTATGCCTGGCTGCAAGCAGGAGATAGTGACAAACTCCCTCCTTGATTCAAACCTGGGCTGCCTTTCTTTCTTTTTTTTTTTCATGAAATGGTGATGTTTAATGAGAACTCCCTACCCCTCCCTTCCATGTATACACATCTATAAAAAATTCAAATACAGCAAGTTACCATTGAGTCAGACTAGAAGGGACTGACAGGACATTAAATACTGAGGGAAGGAAAGAGCCAATGGAGGATCGTACAAAACAGGGGCAGAGGTGGAGGGACTGAAAAGTGTGGGCACAGGGGGGAGGGGGATGGCTGCCCCCCCCCCCCCCGTGTCAGGAGCTTATAATCTGATGGTGGCAACAGAGACCCTGGGACAGACAGGAGGCTGGGGCAGGAGGAGAAAACTGTGGATATGGGGTGGGGGCTCCCCTCAGGTCCCCTAAGGGCTCCTGGGAGTCGCTGGTGTTGGAGGGTCCAGCTGGGCTGCCTTTCAAAATCAAAAGTTGAGTGAACTTCGGTGGGAATGTCCCAGTAAACGGGTTAACAGGATTGCACCAGGTGGCTTGTGGGTGTCAATTCTACGTAAGGGTGGGCCCTATGCTTGCCATTCTGGACTAGTTTCTGGCACTTTCGGAGTAGCAGCCTTGCCTTTGGCACACTTTTGAGTGCTGTTAGAGACTACCTTCATATCTGAAAGTGGACTCAAAGCAGTTAGACATGTTTAGATCTCTGATAATTCAGCATTCCTAATAGCTGAACTAGAAGAGTAATCACAGAACTCTCCTTAGAGGCAGAAAGTGGACAGGCCTGGTAGCTGGGGACAGATACATAGACTGTCCCATGAGAGTTTACTTCAGAGATGTCACAAAGATCACAAAGATTTCAGGTCACAAAAGTTCCTAGGAGGAGAAGGAGGAGTAAGTGACATTCATTATGGTGCCTTAGTAACTCTGTTCCACCCATTCTTTTCTTTTTTTTTTAAAAAGAAAACTGTATTGTGTGTCTGCTTATGATGTATGTGTGGGGGCCCACGTATGGAGGTCAGAGGACAGCTTTGTGGAGTTCCTTCCAGGGACTGAACTCTAATCACTAGGCTTGTGTTATCAGGCAGCAAGCACCTATACCTGCTGAGCTGTCTTGCTAATCCAGCCAGTTTGTGTTTGGAACACATGGAAATATTCTGCACATGGCCTCTGGTGGTGTTTTCCTTGTATGGTTTGTACCAGACGTTAGGTTCTGTCTTCCTTATCTCCGTGTGCTCAAGAATGGAGCCTTGGTCCCAGGTTAAGCTGGAATCTGGCCCTAGATTGAAGTAGCCTGAAGTTTCAACTATTTCTGTTGCTGCAAGAAAAAGAAGGAATAATAATCCTTTCTTCTTTGCTGCATATCAGAAAGACATCTACCAGATAGGACAAAGGATTAGGGGAAGTGAGGAGGGTGAGGAAGTAAGCTGATAGACCTGGAAAAAAAGGATAGCAAGGGTGTGTGTGTGTGTCTGTGTGTGTGTGTTGGAAGACAGCAAACACATGAAGTTGTCAGATGTCAGGGTCACTGTGTCATAGGTATCCTTTTTGGAATTATGTATCACCACCCCCTACAGACTACTGTGCCAGTTTCCTTGTGTTCCCTCCTTTACCTGCTGAGCGGTCTCCCTGGCCTGAGCTAGATGGAGTCCATGTTTTCAGACACCACCAGTTTCTTTAGTTCTTCATTGTGCCAAGCACTGTTCTATGTGCTAAGGGTGTAGCTAGAAGCCAAAAGACACAACTCTATAGTATCAAAAAGTCTGCAGAGCTGACAGATGAACAGTATTAGTGGGTTTGTTATGAAGCTAATTCCATTTCCACTTCAACCCCTCAGGTTGTTTTGCTTTGATTTTTGTTGTTGTTGTTGTTGGGGGGGGGAGCTTAGGATTTGTTTGTTGTTGTTTTTTAATATCAGCTTTCTATTTTTAAAATATTGGGCTGGAGAGATGGCTCCGTGGTTAAAAGCACACTGGCTGCTCTTTCAGAGGTCATGAGGTCAATTCCCAGCATTCATATGATGGCTCACAACCATCAATTACTGTAGTTTCATGGGATCAGATGTCCTCTTCTAGGGTGTAAATAGATGTACATATAGACAATATCCATATACATAAAATAAATGAGTCTTTAAAAATACATTTTTATAGTTGGCTTTAAAAAATAAGAGGGGCTGTTAGTGTATCTTAGGGACCAGAGTGCATGGACATTAAACACAAAGCCTGAGGTTCAATTCTCAACACATAAAACTTAAGAAACACAAATGAAAACTATTCAAAGGTTTGGCATTGTGAACATTATGTTCCGTCAGCTACTGGACATGGTGCTACCTTGCAGTTCCCTCCACAGGTATTTAGTTGTGTTTTTTTTTTTTTTCTTGACTAATGCAAAAACCAAAACCAGAAAAATAGTCCTTGTTTCTGGGGGATGGGGTAAGGGGACAACATAGGAAATGTAAATAAAACATCCAATAAAAATAAAAATAAATAAATAAATAAAATAAAAAAAAGAAAAAAAATAGTCCTTGTTTCCTTAGGCCCCATGTTGTCTTTTGGGAAGAAAATTCTACATAATGTAATCATTATTTAAATAGGTGGTAGGCACACTTGTGGGGAGCTATTTTGAATTCAAAAGCCAATTACTTATTTTAAAGCCTTTTAAAATCTGGGAGGCTTGGTGACAGGGGAACTTATTTATCCTAGTGTGCAATGGTAGTGGGTGTGAAATGTGGTCGGGCGGCCTTGTGAATACCTTCTGTCCCTGCTTAAGGCTCTTCTGTAGTTTCCTGTCATCTTCAGGATCATGACCTTCACAGTAGCTTGACCTCCACCCCTAAGCCCCACTCTTCTTCCTACCCCTATCTCTTCATAAAATGACTCAAACCTGATGCTCCAACAACTACTAGACCGTAGGAGGCTTCTTTGACATTTCAACAGCTCCTCACCTCCACTTCCTCAGCACTGAAGCACCTACGAGCAAGAAACGTGACAACCATCTGTCTCTGTGTTCCCTGTCACTGCTGCACACCGAACACTGAGACTTGTCACTGTGCTCACAGAAAGTTCAGAGGCGATAGAGTTTCAGGAAGGTCAGTTCCAGATGAGACGAACATAAAACCGAGTCCAAGGGGATACATTTTCGTATGGAAGAGGTGATAACGAAACATCAGTTGGTGATAAGTTCTAATCAGACAAACAAATGGTATCTGTCAATGAGGCAGGGAGAGGGAGGCACACTTAGTAAGCGCCAGAGTTCCAGACTGAATGCAGAGGAGACAGGGGATTTGTTAGAAAATGTGATTCTCAGGGGCCATCCTAGGACCGTGGCACAGTTTGCATCTGCAGGGCATCAGCAGGCCACGCAATTGACGCCGCCACCGAGTTTCAGCATCACAAAAACTACACTGAATTTCTCCCACACCCGGCTGTGTCAACCCCACTGATACCACCATTCTAGGCTACTCCATGGTTCATGTAGTGCCTGCTCTTGGTTTAATTTGAAAATGCTCTGTAATGCTGGCTTAGGAAAGAAACCAAGACTATGAAAGGTTAAGAAAAAGACTGTGCCCAAACATTAAATTAGTGTTTAAAAGAAAATTAAAACATCCCTGAAGGTGTAGCACTCAATAGCATAAACAGTGAATGTGCTCTCTGCAGAAAGGTTACAGAAACCTTTAAGAGGGGGTGGCTGGATCAGTCCTAGTCCTTCTCAGAATGTGTTCTGTATTCTCTGTGCATCCGCACAGATTTAGAAAGTAGTTTCTAGAAGCTCAGAAGATGCAATCGCGCATGTCCACTGTCTTCATGGCTGAGAATTATAACACCCATGGGCTGGGAGAGAGACTTTAATCAGAAACTCCAAACACTCAGTTCTTCTTTGTTTGTTTGTTTGTTTTGTGTATAGACTATCATTGCCTTCTCAATGTGGAAGTAAAGTCAATACAGATAACTTAATGTGGAAGTAAAGTCAATACAGTTAAAGGAGAGATTTCATAAAATGTACTTCCATGAGTGTCTATCTATTGAATATTTTCAACATATTTTTTTCTGCATAGCTAGATAATATCATGGGCATCAGCAGGCCACACAATTGACACCCTTTATGTAATTTATGTAATAAAAGGAGAACATGATTTCAAAATATGGCACTGGTGATGTGGATCCCGTTTGGCTTGTTCTTCTTCTTTGTTAAGAGGCTGTAGACCTCTTTGGCCACAAATCCGGGTTAGGCTCATGAGTCTTGT